TGTGTCTCTCTCCCACTCACATTCTGTCTCTGTCTCTCTCAAAAATAAATAAACATTAAAAAAAAATTTTAAGTTCGGCAAATTTGACACACATGTCATAGAAACCTGACAGTAAAATACTATTAAAACATACTGGGAATTTCAGCTACAAGCAGAAGTGCTTTGGACCAAGTTACAAATATGTAAACTACTTGAAAATCAGATAATTATAGATATTTATAAGATTCTTTGAGGAGTTATCTAATTCTGTACATTTTTATCTAGTTAGGAACTTTCTGTTGGTAGGTTCTTTCTTTTGGCAATAAAATGTTAAGCAGTGGGTTAATGAGGATTATGTCCACACACAAGCCCAGCCACAGTTACATGTAATGTGATAATCCCTGATCCACTAGAGTGTTGACTACGTAAGGGCAGGACTCAAATTCATGTTTGAAGTCTCATCTTTAAACAATGAGATGGTGCAAAGAAAGGGAATATAAGAGGGACTTAGTATATCTTTCTGAAAAGGTAAATTTAGCTGTCAAGAGAGTTAAGGCTATGTTTTACTGAGTACATCATAATACAAAGAAAGCATGCCATTGCTACCCTCAATTGGAAAAGATCAGTATATCCGAAAGACTCAATGTCCATAAAACACTGAGCACTTCAAATTACTAAGCTCAACTAATCGCTAACAGGCTGGCAATGAAACGGGAAAATGGTAACTCTATCATTTATCTAATTCAATAAAAATAAAAATAAATCTTATCCTCATAATTGTTAGTTATTAAGATAATTTAAGAGACAAATTATTTCAAATATAGCATCTTCCATTGTTCTTTCTTTTTTTGAGAGAGAGAGACAAAGTATGTGCATGCAGGGAAGAGGGGCAGAGAGAGAAAAAGAGAATCTTAAGCAGGCTCCACACTCAGTGCAGAGCCTGACACAAGGCTCAGTCCCACAACCCCAGGATCATGACCTGAGCCAAAATCAAGAGTTGGATGCTCAACTGACTGAGCCACCCAGGCACCCCATCTCTGTTTTTTTTAATGTCCAGGAAGAAGAATGAAGAAGGAATTTTTTCTTTATCCTAGTATCTACAAAAGGTCAGGTCTAAAATATTTACTTGAGGCCACAATTTACATTTATACCTGTGGACTAGGCCTACAGTTATATTTTATAATGAGGCTCAAACCCAGGATTTCAACATAGTTGGCCTTGAGCTCTACAGTAGCTGTGTTCTAAGGACAAATAAAGATTCTTCTGAGCCTGTGCCACAAATTCACTACTAGGCACAAAGAAAGCAGAATTACACTGATGCATTTTCAGAATTACAACCAAGTTAGTTTTATTTCAGAAACCCACTTGTATAATGCTGGAGCTATAATGGCTTGCCTAGATGCATAGTAAGGACAGTCATCAAAAGCATTTATTAAAGTTTTAATATGAGCTGGGCTGTGTGGGCACAGTGTGACATAAAAGAGAAGAGATCAATGTCCTCTGGTGGCTTAGGATCATAGAGTTATTTGGAGGTTTAAAAATAATAAATCTTGCAGAATTTAAAAAAAAAATTCTAAGACCTTTAAAACACTATTCTTTAGGGACGCCTGGGTGGCTCAATTGGTTAAGCGTCCGACTTCAGCTCAGGTCATGATATCATGGTTCATGAGTTCAAGCCCTGCATCGGGCTCTATGCTGACAGCTCAGAGCCTGGAGCTTGCTTCGGATTCTGTGTCTCCCTTTCTCTCTGCCCCTCTCCTGCTCACTCGCTCACACTCTCTCTCTCTCTCCCAAAAATACATATTAAAAAAAATTTTTTTTTAATTTTTAAATAAATAAAACACTCATCTTTGATGTTCCCATTGCTTGCAATTTGGAGCATTTACAAAAAAATTTTAAAGCAAACCTTCCCCTAATCTGTTAATTTTTTTAATATTTTGAAACAATATATAACAGCAATATATTTTTAGTCTTTTGGTTTCTAGAAAACATTAAGTCATCCCAGTTTTCCCAACAACCCTGTGACGAAGATACTTAATGTACTCTATACTAGTATTATAGCTGATGCTTATCGAGTACTTATTATGTGCCAACTACTATCTCGCTGAATTTGTGCAACAGCCTATGATGTAAATGCACTTTATAGGTGAGGAAACAAAAGAGGGGTCAACTAGATATAAATGTTTTTTTTGTTTTTTTTGTTTTTTTTTAAAGTTTTTTTTTTCAACGTTTATTTATTTTTGGGACAGAGAGAGACAGAGCATGAACGGGGGAGGGGCAGAGAGAGAGGGAGACACAGAATCGGAAACAGGCTCCAGGCTCCGAGCCATCAGCCCAGAGCCTGACGCGGGGCTCGAACTCACGGACCGCGAGATCGTGACCTGGCTGAAGTCGGACGCTTAACCGACTGCGCCACCCAGGCGCCCCTAGATATAAATGTTTTAAAACTGGATGGTCACGGTTGCACAATTTTTTAAATTAATAATTTATTTATTTTTTAATTTACATCCAAGTTAGCATATGGTGCAACAATGATTTCAGGAGTAGATTCCTTAATGCTCCTTACCCATTTAGCCCATCCCCCTTCCCACAACCCCTCCAGCAGCCCTCTGTTTGTTCTTTATATTTAAGAGTCTCTTATGTTTTGTCCCCCTCCCTGTTTTCTTTTTTATTTTTTTTTTTAATGTTTATTTTTGAGAGAGAGACAGACAGAGTGTGAGAAGGGGAGCGGCAGAGAGAGGGAGACATTAGAATCCAAAGCAGGCTTCGGGCTCTGAGCTGTCAGCACAGAGCCTGACGTGGGGCTTGAACCCACGAACCATGAGATCACGACCTGAGCTGAAGTCGGATGCTTAACTGACTCAGCCACACAGGTGTCCCATCCCCTTCCCTGTTTTTATATTATTTTTCCGTCCCTTCCCTTATGTTCATCTGTTTTGTATCTTAAAGTCCTCATATGAGTGAACTCATGATATTTGTCTTTCTCCAACTGACTAATTTCACTTAGCATAATAGCCTCTAGTTCCATCCACATTGTTGCAAATGACAAGATTTCACTCTTTTTGATTGCCAAATAATACTCCATTGTACATATATATACCACATCTTCTTTATCCATTCATCTGTTGATGGACATTTGGGCTCTTTCCATACTTTGGCTATTGTCGATAGTGCTGCTATAAACATTGGGGTGCATGTGCCCCTTTGAAACAGCATACCTGTATCCCTTGGATAAATACCTGGTAGAGTTGCACAATTTTTTAAATTTAATCTAAAAAAATCACGGTACACTTAAAATGAGTGAATTTTATGTAAATGATACCTCAGTAAGGCCCCTAAAAAGTATATATACACACCAGAAAGAGAAAAGGAGGGATGAAGGAATCAAATGACTTGCTTAATAACATGTAGGAAATAAATGGCCAAACCAGAGCTCGGGCACAGCAGGCCCACCTCTGGAGCCCATGCCATGCTATCTCTCTGAGGAAAATAAATTCAGGTCAAGACCATACATAGGAAGGAAGACTCCCTAAGGGAAATGAAGAATTGGACTTCACTACACAGGAGACTCTTCTTAGATGTTTTATTTCTTCACACCTATACAATTCTTTAATTCCACATCCCTGATACACATTGTTGCATGAATTTGTGCAATCAATTTCTTATATATTTGCATTTTCATATCAGTTAAGCATATAATAATAACATATGGAAGTGTGCCTTTAAAAACATAACTGAGCTATCATTATGAACTTTTATCATGCCTTTGCTCTTTGTGAAAATTTATCTTTTTCCCTTCCTTGAGAGCCCACTGTTCAGCACTTACTGTTTCTCTAACATAACTCAAAGCTGCAGCCTTGACTTCACTGAAATTTCTTTCATTTTATCATCTCATCCATCCTGTCATAACCAAACAAATCCAAATACTAAAGACTTCCACCACATGTTATTCTTTCAATTTCTTCTTTCTCTTGACTGCTGACTGTCCATATTCTGAGCTGGCTTATAAATTCTGTACAAACGCAGCAGTGGACAGAAGTGGAAACTAAATCCATGCTGGGCCTCAAATAGATCACTCACTTCTCTGTAAAAACTAAACTTGGTTTTATTTCTACAATAAGGTCTTGAGTTCAAGAAGCAATCTCATTCCCTAACCTCACATGGAATGTGAGCATCATCATTATTTCATTCACATGAATTGGCCACCCTGATGACACACACTAGCTCTATACAAGTCCTAAGTGAGGCAGGAGTGCTCAGGCACTCAGCTTAACTTCTTTGATCTTGTTAGACTCCATACCGCAAAAATAACTAACTTCCATTGTTTTCTTCACCAAACCAACCATGAAGTCACATGGTAAACTGAAATCAGTATTAGAGATGATTTATTTTCAGAGCTATCATTTGCTGGATGTGTATTATGGCCCCGGCACTGTGACTAGATACCTTACATATATTATTACGCTCCAATACTACGTCCCTGCAAAATATCCCCATTATACAACAACTAAGGACTTTTAAACTCAGAGAGTTAAGTATCTTTCAGTTCATACAGCTAAAAAGTCACAAGAGGAGATTCATCTGCCAGATCCCCAAACTCACCTTCTTTCATCATAACCGAAACTACCTTGTCTCTCCCCATCTTTTAAGACTGTATCTTATTGGGGCACCTAGATGGCTCAGTCACTTAAGCGTCCAACTTCAGCTCAGGTCATGATCTCTAGGTCTGTGAGTTCAAGCCTTGCTTTGGGCTCTGTGCTGACAGCTCAGAGCCTAGAACCTGCTTCAGATTCTGTGACTCCCTCTCTCTCTGCTCCTACCCTGCTCACACTCTGTCTCTCTCTCAAAATAAACAAATAAATAAATAAACATTTAAAAAAAAAAAAGACTATATTATTTTAGGAACGCTTGGGTGGCCCAGTCGGTTGAGCGTCCAACTCTTGATTTTGACTTAGGTCATGGTCTCATGGTCTTGGGATTGAGCTCTGCATTGGGCTCTGCACTGTGGGCATGGAGCCTGCTTGGGAATCTGTCTGTCTGTCTGTGTCTGTGTGTGTGTCTCTCTCTCCCTCTCTCTGCCCTTCCCACACTAGCACATGCATGATATGCCTCTCTCAAATAAAATTTTAAAAAGGACTATATGATTTTAACATCTGTATGCAAACTTATTAAAAGCAGAACTATTATACTGTGTGAAATGTCATTAGGCAAGCTCATAGATGACACTTCAACTCAACTAAAATACACTCAAGTAAAATTATCCTAGTTAACAACAAGCCAAAAATGCCAACACCAAAACCAAAAACAACCCCTCAGTTCCTCAAGTAATTACTTCCAGCTTTCAAAAGAATGTTGCTTTTATGTGATAATCCTTAAAATTGGAAAAATCAAAAGGCTTACTTACTTGTCATTCTTTTTCTTCTTTCAGAATCTGAATCGTTCATGTTACTAACAATGAATAAAACAAAGGACAAAATTAACCACTGTCTCCTTATATCATAGCTTTTTTTTCAAAAGGGTGGGAATTATTTCACAAGACAAATATTGGGAAAAAAACATTTAAAAATCACATTGCATCAGTGTCTGAAAGGAAGATAGAAAATACTGAGTTTGATTAAATAATATACAAAATACTACCTTGTTTAATTATTTTAGGTAATTCCAAGTCTTTTATTTTTACCAATTAAAAAATAGTTTTGTCTAAAAATCTAAATTTTCTGATACTTTTCCTTATCTTAAACATGGTTTTCTGAAAATAATTTAGCTTTTTCTTGATTAATCATGGTTGTCTTTATAAACAGCCTTCAGGGGCCATTAAACTGGGAAAAGCTATTTCTTCCTGTGGTTTTCCCGTCTCTCCGTTCAGGGGCCACTACCTACAATGTCTTTACTCCCAAGTAATTCACTGTGATTTATGAAACAAAGTAACTTGTCACAAGTGTAGAAGATGTGACAACTAAGAGGCATGGATGGAAACCTGAGAAGCTCTTCTCCAGAGCTTCAGGGCATGGGCTCCCAAGGAACTTGGGGAACAGTGTTATCAGAGTTGGGGTGAGCAGACAGGTGCTCTCTGCATGGGTGAGGTGTTGCTGTGGACGCCTAGGCAGGTGCAAAGTACTCAGCAGTAGAAGGAAATGTTGGAGAATTAAAGAAAGAGAGGCTTGATGGCTTGATACAACATTGCATCCTTTTTCAGAAATGGTTAGATTGCCTTACCTCTTCAGTCTCAGCAGGTACTGGGATACCCAGGCTGAAAAGAGCTTGTGCTTTGAAATCATATTCAGCGCCCAGAATTGCTAAATGAAAATACAATAATAGGCTGCTTAGTATATTAATATTGGTTCAGTTTATTTTAACTTCATATTACTTTAAATTATATTCCTTAATAATAACTTATCCAGATTTTTTAAGACATGCTATTTCAAGTAGAAGTAGTACTAAAAAAAGAATAATATTTTCTTTTTCTTGTTTTTTAACGTTTATTTATTTTTAGAGGAAAATACATGTGAGCAGGGGAGGAGCACAGAGAGAGGGAGAGAGAATCCCAAGCAGGCTCCATGCTATCAGCACTGAACCTGACATGGGGCTTGAACTCACAAACCGTGAGATCGTGACCTGAGTAGAAATCAAGAGTCAGACACTTAACCGACTGAGCCACCCAGGCGGCCCTTCCTTCTCTTTATATAACATTCAACTCTAAAGTTCTAATTCATGGAAAGCCATATAATGGCATGATTTAAGATACAAAAAAAAAAAAAAAAAGTTCTTATAGAGATTACACGTGAATACTGATATTACCAAAAGCTTTCCTTTAAATAATGTATAATTTATTTTTAAAAACTTAATTTGCGGGGCAAATTGAGGAGGCCCAAAGAGGGGTTCCTCACTACTCCAAGCATTCTCTAACACAAAATTCTAGCCCTACAACTACGGGCTAAGAGTTCCATAGCATGAAGGGGCCTCATCGGGCCTGAGTAAACATGAGAATCAGATCCTGATGTTTACCTATCGACAGAAAATAAACTGAAAGCTAACAATAATTTACTTTTATTACTATATTGAGCTACTTACTGTGAAGGGCTCATGGGAAAAAGATGCAGATAGTCCAGAGGTTAAGAACAGGGGCTCTGGAGAAAGCTGCCAGTGTTTGAACCCAGCCAGCCACTTACTAATTGTGTGAGCTGGCACTACATAGCCTCTCCATGCCTCAGTTTCTTTACCAGTAAAATAGAAATAACAGTGGTACCTGCCCACATGTCATGGCACAGATTATACATATAAAATGCTTAGAATAGTGCCTGAAACATAATAAGCACTCAGTAAATGTTAGTTATTAGTGTTGTTATTATTAATTTTTCATTACTTTGTAAAGCATTTACTATAATGCCTGTCCCAGAGTAAGTTCTTAATAATAGTGGGTTCTCAATAAGTGCTTCTTGAATAAATAAATGCATTGTGAGGCTATAAAAAGATAACATTAACTAGGCACAGAATGTCATGTAATATAATGAAGAGATTGAAATTTCAAAAAATAAGGCTGAATTTTAATCTCAAAAACAATAATAAACAGTGACTACAATATAAAATACTTAAATCTGTTCAAAAAAGAAACAGGCCCAAAATGGAGTCACTTGTGCTAAGCCCACATCACCAAACCAAAACTTAATACCTAACCTAATTACAGTTTCAACCTCCCCCAGGAAGGTAATCTTAACTGGTCAGCTGGAACTCCCGGGTCAGCAGCAGTGAGGTAATCCACCTGACACACCCCTACCATCCTTCCCCCAAAAGATGACGTAATCTGCTCTTTCCTTGTCCCTGTCCCCTTCTGCCTATAAAAGTCCCCCATTTTGTACAGCTCCTCAGAGCTCCTTTCTGTTTGCTAGGTGGGATGCTGCCCCATTCATGAATTATTGAATAAAACCCATTGGATCTTCAAATTTATACAGCTGAATTTTGTTGTTTTTTTTTTTTTAATTTTTTTTTCAACGTTTTTTATTTATTTTTGGGACAGAGAGAGACAGAGCATGAACGGGGGAGGGGCAGAGAGAGAGGGAGACACAGAATCGGAAACAGGCTCCAGGCTCCGAGCCATCAGCCCAGAGCCTGACGCGGGGCTCGAACTCACGGACCGCAAGATCGTGACCTGGCTGAAGTCGGACGCTTAACCGACTGCGCCACCCAGGCGCCCCTGAATTTTGTTTTTTAATAGACCTTAGAAATAGATCTAGGTATCTAAAAATCTATAAGTAAGAATCTTCTGGTAGTACTCATAATATTTCATAAATGCAATGTGTTCGTGTTGAAATAAAAAGGCAACACATACTTTTAAAACTAAATTAAGCCCCTGCCACTTTAGAGACCGTTTGGCAGTTTCTTAAGGAATCAAACATACGTTTTACTAAACAATCCAGCAATTCCACTCCTAGGATCTATCCAAGAGAAATGAAAACATATGTTCACACCAAAACTTGCACATGAATGTTCAGATCAGTATTTACTCACAGTAACCAAAAAGTGGAAATAACCCAAATGTCCATCAACTGGTAAATGCATCAGCCAATGGTGGTATATCCATACAGCAGAGCACCGCTCAGCAACAAGGAGGAAAGAATTACCGATACAGATAATACCATGGCTGAACCTCAGAACTAGGCTAATGGAGAAGCAAAAGACTACACACTGTATGAGTCCACCTATAGGAAATGTCTAGAAAATGAAAACCGTGAGACACAAAATTAATTAGTAGGTGGTTGGGGCTAGGAGTGGAAACAGGGATTAACTGCAAATGGGCAAGAAGGATCTCTTTTAGGGTGATGGAATTGTTCTAGAATTGTGATAACTGCATAGATCTATAAATTTTTTAAAAATCATTGAATTATATGCTTCAGGCCAGTGGAATTTCATGGTATGTAAATTATACCTCAATAAATCTGTTAAAGAATACTGAATTAAGAGAAAAACAAATGTCGCAAATTACTACCTGGGGAATGTTGAGCTCCTGTAACTGGCTTTGAGTTATCTCGCTGAGCTGCCGAAATGTCATTGTAAAATCAGCTGCTGTCTTTTCCATGAGCTAATGGAAATGATTATATTTATCAATCTCAATTCTTCAAGAATAGTAATTCAAATACAAGGAAAAAAAGATATAAAATGACAAACTCACATGTAAGAGAAATGCAATTAAATCATCATCACCCTTTGTTTCCCCAAGTAATCCCAATTTGGCTTTGAACAATTCTCTAAATCTGAAAGAGAAATGTTATTTCAATTCAACTCACTATTTTAAGAATTGTCCCCAAACCAACCAGGATGCTTTAGTATCTGTATTCAAAAGGACAAACCTTGTATAATAAAGAACTGGATACCCCTCAAGAATCTGAGCAGCTCTACAGGAAGAAAAAAGGAAGGACAATGAAATCTTTATTTAAAATTAACATTCTTAAATTATCAGAACAAAGTGAACCTTTTCATATATTAAATATAATTATTATATTTACCAATCCCAATTCCCATATTTCATAAAAATATAAAGATTAAAGCATTCTTAACCTTAAACTCATCTTTTTTTTTTAAGTTAGTTTATTTTTGAGAGAGAGAGAAAGAGGGAGCATGCACAAGTGGGGGAGGGGCAGAGAGACAGACGAGGAGGAGAGACACAGAATCCAAATCCAAAGCAGTCTCCAGGCTCTGAGCTGTCAGCACAGAGCCCAATGTGGGGCTGAAACTCACAAACTGTGAAATCATGACCTGAGCCCAAGTCAGACATTTAACCGACTGAGCCACCCGGGTGCATCCCCCCCTTAAACTCAT